GCTACTACACCTGTGTGGAGGTCATCTTCACCCTAAGGCGACAGGTGGGCTTCTACATGATGGGTGTGTACGCCCCCACCCTGCTCATCGTGGTGCTGTCCTGGCTCTCCTTCTGGATTAACCCTGACGCCAGCGCAGCCCGAGTACCCTTAGGTATGGATCACTGTACACCTTTAACCCCGAGGACTGACTCTTATCTGGGACTGGGTGCGTGGGACCAGGGACTGGGGAAGTCTGCAGGGAGTTTATAGGACCACAGGATACAAGGGGGTCAAGGTTTGAGACAGTTTACCTGGGATAATAGTAAACAGTAAAACGAGTAGTGTCTTTTTAATTCATAGTGAAACATGTGTCAGGTGTGTTGAAAAAAGGTCAATTTTTATTCTTATAGGCCTCAGTTTAAATCAATCTATAAATGCGAGGAGCGTCTGTCTGTGTGTCTGTTGTTTGTTTGTCTGTTGTTTGTTTGTTTGTTTGTTTGTTTGGCTCTTCCATACATAACTCGAGAACTGCTGATGCAACCGATCTCAGTTTCGGAGGGTGTCATCCTAATGGGACGGGCGTGTGCAGTGCAAGTTTCATGTTGTTGGGACAAAAAATGGCAAAGATCTGGTCAAATTTCTGATATATCTATGAATGCATTTTGAGGTCTTAGATACACTTTGAAGTCACATGACACCACGAGGAAGTGTAGCCAGAGATAACTTCAGAAGTTGTCGCATTGTTTATTAATCTATTGTTTGTTTGATTACTTCCTGTTTATTTGTTTGTTTGTTTTGTTTGCACACATCTTCTACGAGCTGTGCACTATGTACTAGTCATATTAAATGCTAAAAGTTTTTTTTTTTTTTTTTTTTATCAATTTAGTGTCTCTTTATTACAGTAATAATACCAAACAATTTTGATGATGGAAAAACCTAGTTGGAAAATGAGTGATATTTATTGTTATTTGTTTGTGCAACTGGTGTTCCATCCAAAGAAAATGTCTAAATTAATCTCATTAGAATTAGTCTAAAACAAGGGTCTCCAACATTTTTCCTCTGGTGAGCTACCCTTACAAAGTGAAAATGTCAAAAAGCTACTAATTTAGAAAAATATAAAGCAATTTAGAAAAATTTAGTAAATATAAGAGCTTTGGATGAGATACAGTTGCCTATAAAACATTTACTGTATTTTCTGGGCTATTAGGCGCTCTGGATTTTAAGGCGCACTGTCATTAAATGGTCTATTTTCGAACTTTTTTCACAAATAAACCGCACTGGACTTTAAACAAAACACAACAGTTGGATGGGTCAGTCGGACTTTGTTTGTGGCCGTTCACGGTGACTCTGGGCTTTGTTCAGTTGTGGCGTGTAGGGAGGGTGCTGTCAGGGACCGCTGGATTGTTGGCGTGTTCACAGTGACTCAGTTGTTCAGTTGTGTCTAGAAGTGGCACATTGCACTCGCTTTTTCGGTTCGTTCCTCCGTTCCATTCCTCTTTCGCGTGGAGTGATGAGTGTGGCTGCGGGTGTTGTTCGCTGCACGGTTGCTGTTTGCTCCGTACGTGTTTGCGTGCACTGCGGGTGGTGCGGCTTTGTAGTTTACTGAAGTCGTGCTGGGACACCCGAGTGGATTCGTGCATAAGGGTGCTCTGGATTGTGGGGCGCACAGTCGTTTTTTGACGCGGTTAGAGGCTTAAGAGCGCGTCCAATAGCCCGGAAAATATGTTACACAACTATTATATTTATTAGTGTACAAAGAAAGGCATCAGGATGGTACATTTACAGTGTTAACAGGCATTTAATCTGATAAAATTTTAGTTTGATTCAGAAATCCCTTGGCGAGCTACTTGGAAGGGGATGGAGAGTTATTGGTAGCTCCTGAGCTACAGGCTGGAGATCCCTGGTCTAGAAACAGTATTACTGCAGTTCAACCTGGAGAGACTCAGACAGACACAAAGAGAAAGTATTAGTAGTTTTAAAAAAGAGATTTCTTTGGCACTCACACCCCGATAGAAGACATTGGGATGAAGAATTGAAGGTGGTAGAGGTGAAGCTGAGGAGAGTGAAGGAGACAATGATTGATTGTTGATCCAGGCTGTTGTTTTTTTTTTTTTTTTACATATAAGCAGCCCTGGTTTTGTTTTTTTGTTTTTTTGACACGAACCATGGGTCTCTCTGATTGGTTAATCCACCTGTCAACCACACCCTCTGAAATCAGGGAGACAGGATGTGGCTTCAAATCCACTCGTCTTTGTAAAGTTTTTTTTAAGGGTGTGGTTCTGGTTGACTAGGGAAGAACATCCCTAGTCGGATCACGTCTTATCCTCTGTACTTGTCTCTTATCGTATTTTCATGTATGCTTTTATTATTCTTTCTTTGACCACATTAGAGACATTTCGATCATAGATTCATTATCGCACCATCTTCTAGTAAAAGTGTAAAATGGTGCAAACTCAGTGTTGTGTTCTGGCATCTGTCAGTGAGCTAATAGTGTCTAAAAACCTAAAATACCAGGTGATAAACAGATCCTGGGTGACCGGAGAGATATTCCCAGAGGTGTGTGTGTGTTTTATTAGGATCTGTGACACTGTGGCTCCCGTGCTCCTCCTTCTCCACTTCATCCATCACACAGACAGGCTCAAGGACCGGAGCACTCACCTGTACAGGCCTGTCCACTGTCTGCGTCTACGGGCATGAGAATTATTACAGCACGGAGACAAGAAAGACAGGAGGGGAGAGAAAGAGGAGTTTGGAGGAAAGGCAGTTAATATAAGCTGGCATAATATTGGCAAATTTTTAGAAAAGGAAAAATGCAAAAATTACTCATGGTTAAATTACAATGGTGGGATGAGACACTATTGCCACAAGATTCGTAATATATTATACTTTAGGTTTTTGAGTACAGCCTTCTATTTGTTCCATTTCCTCAGAAGTGTCACATGACGTTACTGCGACGTGTCTGATCAGCTGCCCCGTGCCAGCACAGTGTTCTGATTAACAGTCTGGTGGGTATGTTTCTGGATCCCTTAGATCTCTTCTTAGATCTGGAAACGCACCCACCAGCCTGTTAATCAGGACAAGGGGACGTTCCATCTTTCTCACACCTGGAATACAGTTCTGAAGAAGTGGCACTACAGACGGCCCTATCGTCTTACTGCTCCAAGTAGGAAGACAGAGCCAAAGACAGTATGACAAGCACTGTTGAGCAAGTTACTTTAAAACTGCAATGCGTTATTTATGACTTGTTACTGTCATTTCAAAGTAATTCGTTACATTACAGTATTACTGTATTTAAAATGTAAGGGATTACATTACTACTGCATTACTTTTAAGATATTCTCACCAAAATAACTGCAAAGATGCTGAACTTTTGCACCGTATATGGGCTGAACCAGGACCGAACCAGGACCGAACCAGGACCGAACTAGGTCTAAACTAGGTCTAAACTAGGACTAAACTAGGACTAAACTAGGACTAAACTAGGACTAAACCAGGTCTAAACCAGAACTGACCCAGTCTAAACCAGGACTAAACTAGGTTTAAACTAGGACTAAACTAGGACTAAACCAGGACTAAACCAGGACTAAACTAGGACTAAACTAGGACTAAACTAGGACTAAACCAGGACTAAACCAGGACTAAACCAGGACTAAACCAGGACTAAAACTTGGAATCTAGGACTGCCCCTGAGAGAACTCAGAGTCCGTGGAACAGGGTGTCTGCAAGGCACGATCAGGCGTCAGCTACCGTTAGTTCCGTGGAGCGTGAAGTTCTGCGCTGGTTAAAAAGCACTGTAATGCACGTTACTGACATTTGTACCGAGTAAAATATATTTTTTTTAAAAATTCCCTGTAAAGCCGTACCATTACGGCTTTACAGCAAAAAGCAATGTATTACAGTAATTCGTTACTTTTATAACGCGTTACTCCCAACACTGATGACAAGATACTTCAAAGCAACATCACGTGACACTTCAGAGAAAGACGGCATAGGGCAGCTGAAACTGTCAAGGTGTGAAACAAATAGAGGTCTGTTAGAATCTAAAGTATGATCGGTGTAGAGCAGTGTTTCCCAAACTTTTTTTCTGGATATCCATATTTTAAAAGTCATAAACCTTCAGTAAACATTATTCAACATTATTCGTAAATCAGGTGGACTTGACCATTATTGAACATATATTTATGTTTTATTGTGTGATTGTGTCTCTCTGAACAGTTAGTATTACTCAAGTTTTAAACAATGAAAAACAGCAATAAAAAGGACATTTGGACATTAAGTGTAGCCCATTTCTTTTTCTGTTCAGCATTCAATTGAACCAGAAATACTGGAACAAAATAGTAAATAAAATAATAACAAAAAGATTAGAAATTATACAAAACATGTTTTAACATTTCAATATTTCTAATGAGATAGGTGGGCCTGTCTGTGTTTTTGTAGAGTGTTCCAGTCCGGTTGCGCAGCAGCAGATAGGCCGTTTGGGATCGTAAATCTTTTGCCCCACCTGAGGGTCGCAACCCAGTCTTTGGGAAACAATGGAGTAGAAGACCTAATGAATATTAGTTTTGAACTTTGGCCTCACATGTAATTTATGTATTTATTATTTTTGTTGCTATTATAGTAGGGTTGCCAAAAGAATTGAAAATCTGATACTAATCAATACTAAAACTAATATCAAAACTAGATACTAATTTGAGCAGATATCAATATAAAATTTTTATTTATTATTATTTTTTTCAATCCAAATGTAAAAACATGGGGAAAAATCTCATAAGAAAAAAAAAAAAAAATATATATATATATATATATATATATATATATATATATATATATATATATATATATAATATATATATATATATATATATACATATATATTTTTGTTTTTTTTTTGTTTCGTGTGTGCAAATCCTGTGGCAGCTTTGTCTCTTGACATCTTGTAGCATGAGATCTTGTCTTGTTCCTATTATGTATTTGTTTGACAATTGAGTTGGGGGACTGGACAACGATGACATTTAAAGGTCAGGACTTGACATTATGGCTCATGGGCCACCTAAGTCTTGTTTTTTGTTTTGGTTATGCAATTTATCTACAGTAATGCACACACTGCAAGAAGAAATATTTATGTAAGTTAAATGATTAAGAACATAAGAACAACATCAAGTAAAATTATCTACCAATAGAATAAGTGTGTTTTTCTTTCAGTTTTTGTTTCTTGTTTCTTTGATTTAGTTTCTTATTTTAAGTGAAAAAAGTGTAGCTAGATGTGTTTTCATATTTGAATTACAAAAAATCTTGTTCCAATGGTAGAGCATTTTACTTGTCAAGTAAAATTTATTCCAATCATGATAAAACTTGATAAAACAGATTTGTCTGGCGCCATTTGTGACATACTGTAAAAGCAGATATTTTAGGTCAAAATTATAAAGCATAATTATCAGTGAACCAAGCAGTAGTACTGTTAGCATGCTAGTTATTGTTATGATGGCAAAACTCTCCTCTGGCCTCATAAAATTGTGAAAAGTACTTTTAAAGATCATTAGTACACAATTTTGTTACTTAAGTAAGAGTAATACTTTTACTCCAGTAGATTTTTTGTCTCTGGTATGGTAAAGTATCTGTTAAAAAATGTACTTAAAGAGTAAAAAGTAAAACTATGTTGTGCAGATTTTGAGATCTAATAAAGTTTCAAATGTAGTGTGTTTTTTTGTGTGAAAATTTAACAGAAACACTTAAATTTATATTTTTTTCCTAGCTGTTTTAATTTGTATATTTTTGTTTGCTCAAACTACAGATGTGTTAAAAATAAGTCCTAAGGCCCTATTATACGTACATTTACTTTTAAATAATGTTAAAAAAATGTAGTGGAGTAGAAAGTACAGATACCTTCTCTTAAATGTGGTGAAGTAAAAAAGTAAAATTTTTACTTTTACTTTGTTACATTCCACCACTGCAAATTGTTAAACTGTTTTTTTTTGTTGTTTTTTTTGTTTTTTGGCAGATTTTTAAGAGAGTAAAGATCAGATACAGCACATTTTAAGTCCTCCCATGTTGTCCTTCATGTGTCTCCTCCGCACAGTGTCCTGATCATGCTGAACACACGATCATTCACTCTCACCACTCCTCCTTCATCCATCCTCCTCTCCACTCCTCTGTCCACTGCTCTGTCATCGTGTGTCCAGTGGTCCATCAGTCCTGCTCCTGCTGAAGCCTCCCCTGACTCCTCACATGGGATCAGTGCAGGTCAGTCTCACCCATACTCCACTCGAAGACATGTTTATCCTGTGTCCTTCTGTCAGTCCTCTGTATTCATTTTGTGCTGAGTTTGTCCATTATAATCAATGCATACAGATCTATACACACTTAATAGCCATTGTTTGACGATTGTTATAGTTGATGCTCCTTTTTGTTTCATGCGGCTGCCTGGTTCACACACTGAGCAGGTTTTGAATTTTAGTTTTTGAGCTCAGTTTTGAACATCTTATTGTGAGATTTTAACCAGCAAAGAAGTGCAGCATGTCCAGTTCAAAGGACACAAGTACGGCTACGTTCTGACTGCAGCCTGAAGTGACCCAAATCAGATTTTTTCAGCCCTGTGCAACCTGTATCTGATCTTTTAATGACAGTCTGAACGGTACAGATCAGATTTTTTCAAATGTGACCCAGGCCAACTGGATATGTGCTCCTAAAACTGATACATATCCAATCTTTTGACATGTGACTTCAGTTTGAGTGGTCAGGGCACATTCATCCGACCTTCACGCCATCGACAAGTAGGTCGCTGAAGACGTGTTTCCTCCCGTGAGAGTGGTACAACTAGGCTCTCACAAATGTACACTAACGTTCTTATCGTAACATGAAAATTGTGTATGAACTGTCAGTGAAGCAGCGAAGCACATCGCAATCCCACCACTCTTGGCTGCGACTCCGCACCCACACGTTCCTTTCTACAGTCGTTGCTGCCACTGACCCCCAAAACACCAGGGCTTAAAACCGTGTCCTTCTCCTTCTCAATCTCCTCCTTAAAACAAATAAGCTGTACATGTTCTGGCTCTGGTACGACAGCAACTTTAAAATCGCCAGGTGCTCAATGCTAATGAGCTACTTTTGTAAACATTGAGGACACTTTTGGGGCGTTTAAAGTTCACACTCAAGATCACATACAAGTCACATTTAATTGCAAATGTGAATGACCTCGCAAACCCCCCCCCCCCAAAAAAAAAACAACAAACATATTTCACACAAAAAATCCAAACTGAGCATTAAGCCCTGCAGTCTGAACGTAGCCTAAGGGATTCCTGGATTTTGTGAAACGAGCTGTTTGGAGACCGTGCCAAAGGCTTGCAGAGGAGCTTGCTAAAGAGCTATTAACGTTTGAGATGCTACAGTCTTTTTACACCATATGTGTCAGAAGACCTTCCAGAAGAAATACTTTGAGGGAATAAACCATCATCAACAACCACAAAACCAGAGTGGCAAAAAAAACGAGGTCTTTCCTGTTGTGTTCACGTGGCACCATGCCCATGCTACAGGATACATCTGTCAAATCTCGGAAAAAGCGACATTCTATTCAGGACGACCTCTAGTTTTATCTATAAGTTACAATGCACTTCTTGAACTTTACTAGATCAAATAGTTCTTTTACTAACCGTCTTGGCTGCACAGTGAAATCCGCCTGAGCCGCTCTAAATCACACTTACCCCCCTCCCATTATAATCACACGTGATATTGATTTTCTATACTTTTTTAACACACAAGGAGGCTCCCAAGCACAAGCGGAGCAGAGACTTCTTTAGTGAAATGTGTCAGGTAAAAGTGTGGACTGAATAATGGAGTCGTGTCAGCGCTCAGGAGGACTGTGTGACCTTTGCATCACTCCCATCCTCATTTTCCTCATTCTGTTCCATCAAGGTGACTTCACATCCTGCATGGAGAGTTCAGGATTTGTACTGAAGTATAAGAACTAGTGCATGACTAAGATTTGAAAGGTTTTGGCTATTATTGTTTTAGTTGATTTACTTATTGCTATAGACAACAATAATGATATAGTAGGGAGAATGCTAATAGCTTTGGTTATAGAATTTAAGAAATACATTTAACACAATAGAAACAAATCAAAACATAAATAATCATCATAAAATTAAAAAGAGAGAGAGACATTAAATTAGAGAGAAGAGTGCGGAATGAAAAATAAAAACCTTTCAGTCATATGCAGCTAAACAGAGCCGTTTTGAGGCTGGATTTAAACACGAGTCAAAGTACAGGCCTAGAGGATAGGTCACCCATTCGGAGCAGAAATGATCAAAATATGACCCATTTGACCGTTCTCACCTTAGAGTAGTTCAGTTGACTTGGGGCCTGTTTACACGGGAACACTTGCGGGTAAAAACGACAAAATATTTGATTGTAAATGCCTCTCGTTTAGACGGTGATGACGTTTTTGGGGCTTAAAAAGGCAAAAATCTGAAACCACCCACCAGAGTAGAAAAGCTGTAGCATTTCCGTCTACACTGCCCAAGACGCAAAACTCTGGTCAGATCTGCTGACGTTGCCTACATATTTATGTCACATGCATACAGTACACAGAAACAAACATGTTGCATCATTTTCACGCATTTTTCTTCAGTTCATCATATAAACATAGCCTTAACTAAGAACAGATACTCCTTATGTGAACAGCTAGGGTGTGTTAGTTTTACTGTAGTTAGCAAGAAGGTTGCCCAGGCCTTTCTGTTTGGAGTTTGCATGTTCTCCCCGTGTCTGGGTACTCTGCTTTCCCCCATCAACTCAAAAGATGCATCATAGGCACAATCACCCAGCTAAACCCGGGCGTACACTGTGCGATTTTTGCCCCTTTTTGAGCAGATTTTTCACTTGTGCGACTGTTTTGGGGATCAGGCAGAGTTTTGGCTTAATCATGTGTTGTGCTTCGTGTAGAACACATAACGAAAACTGATTAATACCTCACAACCAGCTCTCAACTGGAAATTGTAAGTTGCAAGAATATCAAACCTGTTGTAAATCGTCGCCTCTCACATCTGAGCATCAGATCAGATAGTGTGAGAAGATGAATCATGAGCTGTGAACTTTTAAACCCTGAGATTTGGTCGTTCAGTTTGAGCTGAGGATGAGTGAAACGATAGAAAATATGTCACAATGTACGTCTGGCATAAGGTAGTCCTAACCAAAACGAAGGGCTTTGTGGTGCTCACTGCTCCTGATGAGATGCCCCAGCAGAATTGAAGGAAGGGTCAAATGCACAGGACAAATTTCCCCATGGGGAAAGCGTATCTAATAGGATTTAGGTACATTAATATTAGTTAGTGACCAGCTTTTGTTGTAAAAACAATATGAGAACAGGTCATTGGAATCTGGACTAATACTTCATAATGTTTGTGAATTGATCCTTTGGTCAGAAGCAAGAATTAAGCCCTAAATTATAAGATATTTCCAACAAGACATGTCTATACAATCTGAAAATGAAATGAATTTTGTTGACATATTTGACCAGACCTTATCCCAGTAACCCCTCCCCTCTTGTTGCAGGCATTCTCTCCGTGCTGTCCCTGTCCTCTGAGTGCACGTCCCTGGCCTCAGAGTTGCCTAAAGTGTCCTACGTGAAGGCCATAGACATCTGGCTCATCGCGTGTCTGCTGTTTGGGTTCGCCTCGCTGGTGGAGTACGCCGTGGTGCAGGTCATGCTCAACAGTCCCAAACGCATCGAGGCGGAGAAGGCCAAGATGGCGGCAAAAGAGAAGGCGCTGGGGAGGAGCCAGGCTGCACGGAACAACACAGTGAACGGGACCGGAGGCACGCCGCTGCACGTGAGCACGCTACATGTGAGTATAAGAGTGTTTAGAACTAGGGTGAAAAAATAAGAATAAAAATGCCATGTAATACAAAGAAAAAACATCTAATTGTCTCCTCCAAACATCCAGAATGCATTTTAATTTACTTGATAGTTTGATTCAAGCTAAAACAATGGCTGCAAGCTTCATAATTGGTTTGTGGAGGCAGTTTAACCTCTGACATGAACTGGTGGAGGTGTGTGGATACTAAAAATACATGTTTTCTTACCGAGACACAGGGCCTTATAAACTTTCAAACTTGAACTATTGCCACTAGAGGGCACTAAATCACACACGTCCACTTTTCTTGATTTTTAGTATGCTAATAAAACAATGTTGTGGCGCAGTTCTAATCAAGCAATAACGAAACAAACAAAAAATATATATATATGTGCGAATATAAAGCCAGTATTGTTATAGCTTTAAAAATTTGACAAGACCATACCCCCTGTCAGCACCTGACACTGTCAAATCTCAGAAGCTAAGCAAGGCCCGGGCCTGGTTAGTACTTGGATGGGAGAGCACTGGGAAAATCAGGGCCACAGGGGGACGCCGGTCACTGTCATTGTGTCCTTAGGCAAAGCACTTCACCCACATTGCCCAGTATGAAAGTGTGTGTGTGAATGTCAGTGATGGTCGGAGGGAACCGATGGTGCAGGTCAGCAGCCTCACTTCTGTCAGTGTGTCCCAGGGCAGCTGTGGATTATACATATATAATAGAGTGAATGAATAATGAACTGTAAATCGCTTTGGGTATCTTGAAAGGCGCTATATAAATGCAATGAGTAGTTAATTAATTGAAAAACAGAAAATCATTGTAATTTTCATTGATAATTTCTGATGAGAAAATAACTGCACTGGTTAAAGGGACCATATTATGCTCTTTTCTGATCTATGTTATATAATGTTTATAATATTACCTCACAAACATACAGAGAGTTGTGTTTTGTTTCATTCACACATGTTTAACTCACAAACCCTGCGTATTTAGGTATGAGTTCTTCTCTCAAACTGAAAACACTGTCTTCCACTTTCTGATATCCTGTTGTAACCCGCATTTGAGAGACTTTTATTGTTGCTGGTCAATTCCGCTTCACCCCGACCTCCCCCACTTCCTTTAAGTTGCGGGGTCACCCTGTCACTTCCTCCTCCTCCGCTCTGCTGTGGCTGTGGCGTGGTCTGGGCGTCGGCAAACAATTTCAATAAACTTTTAAACCACGAATCCTATAACATCCACAATTAGAGCCTCGATATAGATTTACACAAACTGGGCCGTGTATGGAGAGGAGATCACAACGTGAAATTCAAAGGTCAGGTTTTTTCTATGGACTGATTGAACTCTAGCTTCGCAGAAACTCTCAACTCAACTAGGAACTGAATGATGGCGAGCTTACCCAAAAACCTGAACTTAGGCTACGTTCAGACTGCAGGGCTTAACGCTCAATTCCGATTTTTTTGTGAAATCCGATGTTTTTGCGAGGTCGTTCACATTTCCAATTAAATGCGACTTGTCTGTGACTCCAGTGTGAACGGTAAACGGCCCGAAAGTGTCCCGCATGCGCACTGGAGACACGATGACGTCAACCCCATGTGTCAACTGCAGCGAGCGTGCTCTATGTTTACGGAAGTTGTCCAAACGTGGACGCGAGCATTGAGCACCTGGCGATTTTACAGTTCCGGTTTCCGCCTGCTTCAGTGCAGAATAGTGACGTTTGTCGCTTGTTGATGACGTGTAGGTCGGATGGATGCGCTTTGGCCGTTCACACTGAAGTCGCATATCAAAAGATCGGATATGTATCGGTTTCAGGACCACATATCCAAGTGGCCTGGGTCACATTTGAAAAAATCGGATCTGTGTCATTCAGACTGTCATTAAAAGATCGGATACAGGTCACATAGAAGCCAAAAAATTGGATTTGGGTCACTTCAGGCTGCAGTCTGAACGCAGCCTAAGATTAACCTGAATCAAAATACTAGATAACTGGACTGTTTTTTAATTTTTAATTTTGTTTTGTTATTGTTGTGTTCTGTCAAAAAAAATATTTTCAATATACTTCACCCAACTTCATATTCATGTCTTATGTCTCTTCATTCACACTCGGGCTCCTCAAAGAACATGCTTCTGATGCTGCTTTTGTGGCCGTAGTCTGCCCCTAGCCCTAACACATTTGCGTAATACAGAAAGTGCTCCACTGTGTTTCTAACTCCACACACCTTCACTAGAATCATTTAGGTGATTTCAGCTGTGGAATTGCCAATCTCTACTGAACTAAATGTACACTACTACTACATGACATCACAAGGTGGAACAGAACATTTGAGCTTTGGAGATGTAGACAGACTAATAATAATGGGTTATTCAAATGTGCGTGAATGAAACAAAACACAGCTTCAGGTATGTTTGGGAGGAAGTAACAGCATTAATAACATGGCTTAAAACCACAAGAGTCCATTTGTATAATATAAGACCTTCAATTAGCTGCCATCTTTTTGTAACGACTCTTAAAACCTTTCCAGCTGCAGTTAGTTACCCAGAGGCAAAATATATTTAATCATTCAGCTTGCAGTTATTTTCCAAATTTCGAGCTACTGATTTTTTCATTGTTTTCATTCTCCCCGCCTCTTCGACTACACCGAGCCTCTCATCTCATCTAAATGCAAAGCAGCTTTTCCCATCAATCACTCCACACTAGCAGTATGTCTGTAAAACACTATCTGACACTCCCTCCCCTCCAGAGTGCAGTGGATCAGCCCCCAAATCACTGCTAATTGAAATTAATTTAGCTCCCAGTCTACATCAGCGCGTGGTGGAATTCTGTGCAGAGGATGACATGCTCCGGCTCAGGTTTTCTTGTCAAAATCACAACAAAATAATGAAGATTTAATGAGAGGAATAAGTGGAGTGGGTAAGCACCATGCAGATACTAATTAGATAGTACTGTGAGGCCATCCGGGAAATGCGTGATGCTGATGAACTAACCAAAAGCAATAATCATTTGTAAAACGTAAACGATTAAAAAATGAACGTGAAAATTGACTTTTTGTAATGCTGTAATGATGTTATAATATTGTTTCCTCGTCAAAAACATACTTGCAGTTTTATTTTGCTTAATTCACGCTGGTTTCATTAATCATTATTTTCATGGTTGTCTTGCTCTGAGCCTCAGAAATCACTCAGTCTCAATTTTCCATAGTCCATAAATCACTGTCAAGACTCATTTCTGCTGTCAAATCGCGTTCATTACAACTACATGCTTACATTAGCATGCTGTCCACATGCTTGTACACTGTAGCTGACTTTTGATTGTTGTTCCATAGTTGATTCTCGCTGCTGCCAGTAGATGGTGTGCTGACACTGAATCCTAATGAGAGAGAGCGTCTGCTGAGACATGATTTGTCTTTTCTATACACTGTCATTATTTTAAGTTCTAAAATATAAGATGCCAAAGCAAAGGTGCTCAAGAGGATGTTTAAAGGCTAAGAAAAATATAAAAAAATAATGCATATGTGTCCTTTAAAAGCAATTTCATTTGAACTATTGATTTGCCAACACTAAAAAGCCTATCTGTTATCGTCACTGTAGCCATAGCCGTGCTGATAGTGCTTTTTCCGAAAATGTTTCACTCAGAAGCATTGGCAGCAGAAACTGTCAGATATCTTGACAAATTGTGCTTTTTCACACTTTTAATCTGATTTTACTGTATATTTAAAGGAACTGTATGTAAGATTTAGATTTTTTTTTCATTAACTGATATTCTATAATGATGTTCAAATCAATAGCTTTTACAGATAACAACTGTGATGCTGATTTATTCATAATTACAAAAAACATTAGACATGGTGGCCAAGTTATTTGGTGTTTTGGTTTTCTCTCAGGATGATACTAATCCAAATCAGAGAGCAGAATGAGCCTCACGTGAGTCTTTTGTTTGAGTTGTCAATTTCACTGCTTCCTCTCTCTGATCTGAACTGTCACTACCTAAACCCCAGCTCCTGTAGCCAACCATGAATCGGAGCTAGTGCAGCCTCTACAGCTCAGTGAGGGAATTCTGGAGGTTCTTAGCGTTCACATCCAGTCCACTTTATTTTTATAGCACATTTCACAGACAGTTTCCAAAGTGCTGCACAAATACATACTAATAACAACAATAATATATAATAAAATGATAAAATAAACATTCAGATTTAATCATACTAGTCTTAAAACAATAAAACCAGTAAAATAAAATAAGAGCAAAACCACAGAATAGCAATACATAAATAAAACCAATAAAATGCATTAATACAATACAATTAAAAAATAAATAAATAAAAAACACAGAGGGCCACACAACTCATTCGGTGTTAAAACCCAGAGAATAAAAGTGGGTTTTAAGATGAGATTTAAAACACTCCACTGTGGGGGCTGTTCAGACGTGTAGGGGCAGAGCTTTCCAGAGTTTGGGGCCGGCCACAGAGAAGCCCCTGTCCCCCCTGGTTTTAAGTCTTGGGTCCCACAAGCTGCAGCTGGCCCTTGGACGTCAAAGCCCACACAGGGTGTAAATTTGGATGAGGTCTGAGACGTACTGTGGGGCCAGTCCATTCAAAGCTTTAAAAACAAACGATAAAGTCTTAAAATCAATTCTAAAATTAACATGAAGCCAGTGCGAAGATGCAAGAATTGGGGTTATGTGCTCTCTTCTTTTGGTTCTTGTTTAAAACTAAGAGCAGGCTGCATATAGTTCAAATTGTGATGCAGGTTTCTTGCCAACACTGCACATGATGTTACTGATTGAGCTGGCTTTTTACAAACCCGTGCTGTTTCTTTCTCTCTCCCTCTTTCAGAACCCTGTCCTCAGCTCTCACTAACCTGCGGCCCTGTCTATCTGTATGCCACTCCCCTCTCCTCACTTCCTCTCCTAAGTGCATTGGCGCTTCTCTCCAATCACCCATAATCCTGCGCTGTGTTTTCAGGTGGCAGAGACGCGCTGTAAGAAAGTATGCACCTCCAAGTCAGACCTGCGCACCAATGACTTCAGCATCGTGGGCTCCCTCCCGCGGGACTTTGAGCTCTCGAACTTTGACTGCTACGGCAAGCCCATCGAGACAGGCGGAGTCCACGGCAAGTCCCAGGCCAAGGGAGGAAAGAAGGCCCCGCCCCCCAACCGGTCATCCCGTCGGCCGCCAAGAGGATCGACCTGTACGCCAGAGCACTCTTCCCCTTCTCCTTCCTCTTCTTCAACGTCATCTACTGGTCCATTTACTTGTGATCACATGGTTTACTCCTCACTTGATACAGTCTGGCTAGCCATACTTCTTTCTCAGTGTGTTTTATATGGAGAAATTCAGTCTGGTTTTCAAGGGTTTAAGGCACATGACATTTTCTTGTTATGGACGCCATTTGTCGGATTTTTGATTATTCACGATATTGAATATTCTGTTTTCAATGGTTAAAGGTGTACTATGTAACCTGTCTTGTCTGTCTCCATGGAGATGTCACCGAAAATTCCACAGTATTGGCTCTTTGCACAACAGCTAAAACTAAAATGAATAAATATTGTCAGATCAGGCAGTGGACGGGGAACTGCAAAATGTTAAACACAGAGGACACTTATGTTTAAAAAAGTTGGCATTTGTGCATCATTGCTAATGCTAATACAAATTTTGAGGCATAATAAATATTAAAGCAGACCTATTATGAAAAATTGATTTTTCAGAGCTTTTAATCATGTTAGTTGTTTCCCCTTCTCATGTATCCACTCAAAGTTTTATTTGGAGTGATTCGTGCATGTTTGAGTAATCGTTAACCGCTTATTTTTGCGTATTATTTTCTAATCCGGTGATACACGTTGAATTTGGCAGCGTCACATAATCATTTTTGGTTTAAATTTTTAAAATATGTTACTTTCTAGCGTGATCTGCGGCTGACAGCGCAGTTTTCTAACACTTCAGACTTGTCTCTTGTTAAGTAGTTTTAGATGAATATTGCGAATTGTAAATTGTGCAAATTGTAACATAATGATTAACGGACATCAGACTGAAGCACAATATATATTCTTTAAAAACTGAGTAATCTACATAGAAAACAAAGGGCAGTCTTTACTTCTACTATCTAGAATTTAATAACCCTATTCAATTACAGTCTTTATAGCAAAAAAAGATGCATCACGAATTTCGGACTTTCGGTCATTACGCAGTGCATACTGGGAAAGATTTTCCGAAAAAGTGAGCATCAAACCACCATGTTTGTTTTCCCGGTGGGATGCATCTATTGACAAAGCCAGTCTTTTCTAGTCTTTTGAATCATATCGCTTTTGTTTCTGGTTCTGATATTGTCATATTTTAGTTATGGGATTTAGACATTGTAAATGTGTTGTTGTTGGATGTCCTAACAGTGGAAAATGGCTCAAGAAATGGGCTTCGGAAGTTTGCGAACTCCATAACTGCAAAAGGGAATTAGATCTGTGTGACTGCAAACCTCCGTTCAAACTATTTCCCTTCACAACGGAATTATAAATCAGTGAGGCAAAGGCGATGGGCAGTACTGATCCACGGGAAGGACGAAAAAGGAAACCTTTCACTGCCTAAATCATCCTGAGTTCGCAGTGAACATTTTGTATGTGCAGCGCCAACAAAGCAGGATCCCATTTGCTAAGTGAGAGGTGCAGAAGACAAACAGGCTGAGCTCGCACTTTCTTGTTCGACTGACTTTACAGCAACATCACGTCTCTGTTAGGACATCCAGCAACCACACAAATACGATGTCCGAATCCCAAAACTCAAATATGACAATATCAGAACCAGAAACAAAAGCGATATGGTTCAAAAGACTAGAAAAGACTGGCTTTGTCAATAGACGCATCCCACTGGGAAAACAAACATGGCAGTTTGATGCTCACTTTTTCGGAAAACCCTTCCCAGTATGCAGTGCACAATGACCGGAAGTCCGAGATTCATGATGTATGTATTCCAAAGACCTGAAACTGTCCTGGTGATGCAATTTATTTATGATACTGTGGAAATTCCATGGAAAATCTCCATGGAGATTTGACAAGTTACATTATGCACCAGAGGTTTGATTTCCTCTGCTACCTACCTATCTTACACTGGAGTGGAATTTCTTAAACCAAAACAATCAAGATGGCTACCACATTGTTGTTTACTACATTCTCGTGTTTTGAATAACCTGGACATTTCCATTAACCACAGCAACTGGCAGCTCGAAAATATATTTTTACCATGTGACTAGATTTTAAAACAGTTAAATCAGTTTTTTCTAAGACAGCTGGGAATTAAAATGAACATAATTACAACATACTGTCTCTGTAGAGTACAATAAGAAAGTCGTATGGCTAGTCAGGCTAAGATTTGTATTGGATAAACAGAAATCCAAAGAGAACTGTTCTTCCGAAAATATCAAACTGTGTATTGATATGATATTTATATAAAGCTAAAACAGCTAAATGTTCTTATGTGTTGCCTTGGCCAGCCACACCCATTCACCTTTTTAGTGAACTGGGCACGTTACACCCCATTCAACTTACTTGATTCTCTGGTGTAGTCAAAGTCCGTCTCATAGTATGCAGTAATTAGCATATCTATTTGTGTTATTTGGTTCTTTTTTCAGAGTTTGTTTTCATACCTGACAGTTTCAATTGAGTGGTCACGCGATGTTGCTGCGATGTGTCCGGTCAGTTCATTTAAACAGGTTTTGGCGTTGTCTTCCTACCATCTGCAGTCCAACTTCCTCATGACAGTATCCCAGGTGTGCGAGAGTAAAAAAGCCCCTTCGTCCCAATTTATAGTCCCGTGGGCGTGTTTCCGAACAGAACAGGAACAATTCAAATCGGTGATCTCTGACCACTGTAAAAGCGAGAACCACATTATGGACTGGAACGAAGCAAACGTTATTGGGACAGAGGAAAACAAACACCGTCGCTGGATTAAACGGGCAGTCGAAATATGGAAACGTGCCCACAGGACGAGGGGGCTTTTTTACTCACACACACCTGGGATACTGGATACTGTCTTGAGGAAGTCGCACTGCAGATGGCGCTGTCGTCCTGCCTCCAACAATAAGAAGATGGCGCCAAAACCTGTTGAAAGAGCGCTTGTGAGCAGAAACTGTCAGGTATGAAAGCAAACTCTTGGTCTGAACAAAGAACCTAATAACATAAATTCTCGGAAGACCAAATGAACCTCGTTGGACTAGCATACCTATTAGTGTCAATTTTACATCAGATGCCTTTCCTGACACACCTTATGCAGGGTTAAACTATTATCACTTCCAGACCATAGACTGTATATATAAACGGAGATAGCTAACTTGTTTCCCGCCGTGTCCTAATAGGAAGTGAGCACGGGGCGCACTTCCGGCTCCGTCGACTCCGGCTCTAGTTCACTTTGTATTGAAAAAACTCCTCATTTTGTTCGTATTAACCCGCTCCACATGATCCTGGGGTTTTTGTTACGCTATTTTGTAACCCTCCTAACATGTAACTCGGCTCCCAATTTGCCTCATAACCGCAAGCCTCGATGAGCTTCATTTGACTGGAGCCAAACGCTACAGGTAACGTCACACTCACTATACAGTCTATGGTTCAGACCAGTCATAACTATTTATCTACCAAGGGGCGGGGCTTATGTGATCTGTCTGTTTTCCGATTGGTTGTAATTGCATTTCTTTTCCATTTGCCCCGCCCCCACAAATCTATTCAGAATTACAGGGACCAGTCTATTTGTACGGAATATTTAAAAAAAAAAAAAAAAAAGTTTTAGAAAGGCTGGCCAGGCTACTATTGTGTATCGAAAATGTAACTTGTTATACCTTTTATGTATTATGAAAACACATAATTTATAAATTTTAAAAAAGGTACAGATCTTGCTGGCTGATGAAGTGGTAGAGAATATGCAACGTTGTACAGCTTTTTACATCCCGTCGCAATTTTGAGTTTAGCTCTAATGCTAACGGTGTAGCATTGTTAATACCTCGCATGTGAAAAAAGCAAATGCATGTATATTTATGATGATTAAAAAAGTCTATACAGATGCATACAGAAATATTTATGATTACAGTTATTATTATGCTTCTATTTATTCTTCTAGTTTGCTCTTAAAAAGACAAAGTGGATTATGTAAAGCAATCAGCTCCTGCCCAGATGGTCACGTGACACTGCCACACCCCCTCCTGTACGTTTTAGCCACGCCCACCCCGCCCGCCCCCGTGTAAATGGGCCAGTGCTGACACGGCCATGTGTTTGTGATGTTGAAAAGAGACCAATAAATGACTGAATGACTTTTCACTTGATTTGGGTTTGCGTGAGCTTGTTTTCAAACTCCTAACAATTCATATAAAGTTGAACGATGAGTGTATATTTTACTAATTTAGTGAGATAATACCTGTTGTACATATAAATTATAGTTTTACTCCAGTCAAGAGGGAATTTTGAGAAATATGTTGATAATTACAGTAATAAGGTTCTGTGGGTTGTTTGGTACTGGGCCGCACAGAAAGAATAAATAACTTAAATTATCCTTGTTTTATTTATTATCCAAGTCTAAACATCGGGGAAAATAAATAATAATAAAATAAAAATAAATATCTAGGTAAGTTAAAATGACTTAAATTAAGAACACAACTTTGAGTAGATTCAACTTGACAAGTAAAATGATTTACCAATGGAATGTGTATTGTCTTAATTTAAGCAACATTTGATTTTGTTTCTTTTTTAAGTGCAAAACACTGTTTTTCTTATTTTTTAAGTGAAGCAAAATGTATTTTTATATTTTAAGTACAAAAAGTCTTATTCCATTGGCCGATAATTTCACTTGTCAAGTGAAATTTACTCAAATCATGATAAAACGTTCTTAATTTAAGTCAATTTAACTTGACTAGATTTTGTTTTTTGCAGTGAACAATGTTTTATTTTGGAAAGTGACCGAATTCTCACTGTTACGTCCATCTATGACTTACTCTTGACTCACTCTTGAAACATGTCAAGATGCTCGTCTCGGTCACGTGATACATTAATGCTAATATTAAACCCTCAAGCTGCAAAATGAATAAAAAACAGACGTCTTTGGAAACGTTTATTATATTTACAAAATACCACAGTTTTTGTGTTGATCATATCATTTATTTTGTCATATTTATCTGTCACACCTTATAAGTCAGTCTGTGAAAATATTGTCTGACATTAAACTGGTCCATGGCGCAAAAAAGGTTGGGGAGACTGCTGTTCTTAAACATACTGATGAGATAACACAAAAA